CCCATATATAAGTACCTTATGACTAAGAGCTCATATTTGTTGGACATTTTCCAGAGTCAAGGGAGAATGTGTAGCCTTGTATTAGAGACATTAACTGAGTTACCTAGAATGAGACCCTTGTTCTTGATCTGATGAGTCCATTATGCTAAGCAACTGAACTAAGTGGCCAAGGCAGAATAATAATTAAAACAGAACCCGGAACTTCTACACATTGTTATGTCACTTAGAGGTTCTATCTCAGTGACGGAATTTTGTACCAAAGCCAGATAGTATCAGCTTGGTGCTGGTGACTCAAACCTATAATCCTAGCTACTCAGGAGGCTGAGATCTGAGGATCGAGCTCAAAGCCAACTCTGAAAGGAAAGTCCGTGAGACTCTTAATCTCCAATAAACCACCAGAAAACTGTTTGGAAGTGGCATTGTAGCTCAAAGTGGTAGAGCACTAGCCTGGAGTAAAAAAGCTCAGGGACAGCATCCAGGCCCTGCATTCTAGCCCCATGACCAACCAGAAAAAAAAAGAAAACAAATGAAATGAAAGTGAAAAATAACTAGCTAGTACGTCGTGTGCCTTTTTTTTGTGGGGGGTTGAGGAGGGTGGGGTTGGTAGTGGGGCTTGAACTCTGGGCCTGGGCACTGTCCCTGAGCTCTTCAGCCCAAGGTGAACTCTCTACCACTTGAGCCACATGGCCACTTCGGGTTTTCTGACGGTTAACTGGAGATAAGAGCCTCACAGAAGCCCGGTGCCGGTGGCTCACGCCTGTAATTCTAACTACTGAGGAGGCTGAGATCTGAGGATCGCAGTTTAAAGCCAGCCTGGGCAGGAAAGTCTGTGAGACTCTTAATCTCCAACAAACCACCAGAAAACCGGAAGTGGTGCTGTAGCTCAAGTGGTAAAGATCTAGCCTTGAGCTGAAGAGCTGACGGACAGCGATCAGGCCCAAAGTTCAAGCCCCACGACTGACTAAAGAAAAAAAAAGTCTCACAGACTTTTGAACCATGATCTTCAGATCTCAGCCTACTGAGTAGCCACTGACACACAGTTTCATGTGCCTTTTATAGTATGATTTAAATAAGAAAAACATCTGGTTGATTTGGGTCCGAAAGAAAATCTGACTCTGAGATGTACTTACCAAAGGTTTATTCGGGAGGGCTCCTGGCAGCAACAGCTGTGAGGCAAACAAGACTGGGGCAGGGCAGAGAAACTGAAGCACAGGGTCCAGATCTTTATCCTCTCATTTACCCCCATCAGCCAAACATCATCCAGCTATGAGATCTCAGCATCCAACACTGCCTACATCTGGGGAACCAATGTCTTGATTCTGAAGTGGGACATGGGTGGCAAGGCTCGATTTGCATCTACAAATGGCTAACTTGTCCTTTTACTTCCCAATATCTCTGCCTTTGTTCTTGTATTTGCCTACCTTGGATCATGTATGAGGTAGAGCTCACTGTCCTCTGCTAATACAGAAGGAAAAGAAGTACAGAGAGGGGCTGGGAAGGTGGCTCAGTGGTAGAGCACTTGCCTTGCATGCATGAGGCCCTGGGTTCAATTCCTCAGCACCACATAAGCAAAAAGAAAAAAGC